TGCTGGAAAAGCTCCTGATGAGAAGGAAATGGAAATAGAAGTCTTCATAATAGGTGGTTTTATGCCAAAAGATTGAAGTAAATGACCTCAAGAATACATGTGCTAACTTGAGGCAATTTTTGATGATATTTAATGCATTACCAGCTGCAAGGAATTCAATTTTCTCCTAATCCTGAATAGAATCTCTGTCAGTGTTTAAGAATTCTGAGGAAAGGATGAGTTCTACATGAATTGTGTTTAGCAGATGATGATTAAACACAGTACATGCTGCTTTCTAATAGGAATGCTAGTTTAATCTTCCCTCTCTGCAGTTCTGGAAGTCAAAGAACAGTTTCTAGGCTGTTAATTTATATTAAGTGACATAAGAACCTAAGAACTGAGAGTGGTGAGGCACTGGTTGAGGCTGCCCAGAGATTTGCATCATAAGCAATTGTTGCCTAGAAAGAACAGCAATCTGGCACACTGAACTTTGTAATCAAGACTGACAGCAATTGCCATGCCTAAAACCACTTATAACAGCCCAGAAATTTCTAACACTACTAATCTTAAAAGCATTTGCTAGAAGCACAGAGCATACTCAGGCAAGAAACTTTTCCTATTTAAATGTAAACACAGATGTTTGGAAAGTTTAGGAAAACTCAAATGGACATGGTGACAATCTCAAAACATTTGGAGCCATCATGCTACCCAAGCAAACTAGCACATTTTTATTATGCTCAAAAAATCACTTTCTCTTGTTTCATCTATCAAATCTTTTCAACTGACTGTAACCACAAGGGCTGTATTTTCAGGAGGAAAATACATTCTTGCAACATGTTTCAAGGTTGTAGTGGACTTCACCATTAAAAAACTCTACGGCCCAAAAAGCATAAAGGCAACCAACAACTCAATCAATTAACACAACGCTACATCACAAAAACTACAGAGAACAACTCCTCACCTGGGAGTCTACTAGCCTGCCACACCTGTCTGCTCCAGTTTAAATTAAAAAAAAGTTCAAACTTCTAATTTCTCTAGAACTCAAGTCTGAGTGACATAGGATAGAATAAGGGAGAAGCAAGTCAGGAAAGGCCTGACCAGCCACAATTTTTTATAGGTAAACTGCCTCAGCTGCTCAAGAGGCTGCCCAAGCAATACTCACATTGAACTCATACATACTCAGACCCCCCTACAACTGGCACAGAGATTTGCCTTTGTTCAGATTCCCCTTTCCTGTCTCTCAACTTTTTCAAGACACTTCAAAGAAGATCAAAAAGCTTGAAAGAAGTGCAGTTGTTTAGTCTACAGAAGAGAAGATAAATGGGAGACCTGGTCTTGTTCTTCAAAGACAAAGCAAGTTGGTACGAGAATGGGACTAAACTGTTCACCAGGTCTGATGCAGACATGAAAAAGAAAGCAAGATTTAAGTTTTGGAAAACTTTCAAGTAAGAGTAATAGACTGAACAGGCTGCCTTTGGAGGCTGTGGAATATCCATCACTGGAAGGTTTTAAAAACAGGCTAGGCAAACATCTGTCAGAAGTGATTAAGTTACAGTAGATGAGAAGATCTTTTGCTCCTCTTCTGCTAAGGTCCTTTTGTTACACCCAGTATTACAAACCCAACCACATTTCTGTCTTTTACATGCCTGTGTTTTATTTAAGTTAAGAAAACCATGCAATAAAAACCTGTCCTTCTGTGATATTTCCACATATTCAAGTGTGTTTATTTGGGGCAACATAATAGACATGAAAGATTTGTTAAGTGTGAAAGCAGGATAAAGAAACCACCTGTGAAGTAAAATACCAATGTATTAAATTTACACTCACTCTGAATAAATTGACCTCTAACATTATAATGCAGACAGCACTGCATTTTTGTCCTCCAAGAGAAAAAATTGTTCAACTGATGACTTACTGATCTGCAGTCACTTGAAGATTTTCCTTAAAGGATTTTTTTTTTTAAAAAAAGCACTTTTCCCCAAGCACAGAGAAATACAAAATTCAATATTACAAAACATTAATACAAAAAAGACATCAGAAGGCTGCTTTGAGAAGTATGCAAACCTTTTCAAAACCATATTAAATTATAAGGACGGCTTCCATTGCACTGAGGAAAAAAAGCCATTGGAGACCTTTTTCCTCCCCCTGCTGTTTAATACTAATGTAACCATGGAAATGAAAACTAAACACTGACTTCCCCTCACCCCCAGCATGACAGGATATGTAACAGCGGAAATGTTTCTTGGTGAAGGTGAGAACAGGTAACTGCTCAGGAGAACACCCGGGTTTCTGGGGGTCTCTGCTGCACTGACACCACAAAGCTCACACCACTGCCAGAAGGAAGAGATGCTGTTTGCTCTGCTCACGTCTGATGCTCCTACCAGCTGCCCTCTGTGCTGACTCCTCACTTTTGTCTGTGTTGGCTAGCATTTGACCTTCTTTAGGTTTTAGGTAACACTCCCTTAGAGGAGACAAACATGAATGAATAGCTGTGATATAAAGCAATCAGATCATAATCAGGCAAGTTCAAAAATATTATGGTCAATACCAGATTTGTCTTTCTGCACACCTGACCAATCCTTCTAAGGACAACTGTTTTACATCATTTTTATTATCTAGGTATTTCCCAAGTATGTTCATTGGAACTTGTAAGGCACGTGGGATTTGTAGACACACAAGAACTCAACGTTCTTTTCATTCTCGGTCTAGATAGGTCTGGGATAACATTTACCTCCTATTTTGCATCTCAGTATGTGTTTTTTCTTGCCAATTCAAGATCCACCCTCCAGTCTGATATCAAGCTTTGTCAGAGTAACACAACATCCATAAAATTATTTATTCTATTTTAATGGGGAAAGGGAAGGGAAGCTGACAAACTGAGAGGATTAAGAAAAATCCATAGACTGTTTAGCCCTCCTTCAATAAAGAGACCCTAGGTTAACTTGCCCCTAGTAAATTCATACTAAATTAGAGTTACAACAATATGAAGGCTATGGCATCATACCTTTCTGGATTAAACTTATTTTTCAGATTGTTTTCCCACTCAAATATGCTTCATTATCAGAAGTACCAAGTCTTCAAGGCTCTAGGCAATTTTAGTCCTATTATCCAATCTGATGGACTATTTTAAGATTTGCACAAATTTTTTTAGCTTATATCCTTTTCATTGGATACTGTTTTCTTCACACAATCCACTGCTTTCAGCCTAGAGAATGAAGTGTTGTTTCCTTCCCTCTTTACATTCAAAAGTGTAAAATAAACAAAGCTACCTAGAGCAATGGATGGAAGGAGACATTCTAGAGCACAAATTCGCTGAAACTAGTTTTAAGAATAATTTCTGCCTTTAACATCTTGGACCTGAGAGTGCTGCTAAAATATCAAAGAAATTCACAAATATATTGCATGATTTTCTCATAAATCAAAATTATTGCAACAGGAATATATTTTAAAGGAGTGACAGAGTGGAGAGAACACATTACAATGAAGCTGTATTGATAAGTAATGACCCTTGAGGCTACCTAAAAATATACAACACTGCCCCCCTGCAAAAATAAAGTAAAAAAAACCAAACAAAATAAGACTAAAGCCCCCACTTTACCAACCATTTGTCAAAGTTCTTTCTGCTAGCCATTTCTAAGGCCTTATAACTTTTAGCAAAATCCAGTATTAAAAACTCAAGTCTCAGACTTTTGTTTTGCTTAATTTTATTGAATTTGGGCCTTTCCAACAGTGTGTGATAAAATTTAAACATAACTGGAGGATAATATAACAAGTGAATGGTAAGGACATATGAAACTAGGAGGCTGTATTTAAATCCCTACTGCCTCACCTTAGTGCAGATATCATGTAAGCAATCTACTTAGATTACTGAGTTATTCAGTTATTAATCTGAGTTATTCAGAACTGAGATTAGTTCTGAATCCCAGAACTATTTGTGAAAAGCAATGACTTCACTTAAAAGAAAACAAAAATCTCTGAGTTAAAGAAACAGAAAGAGCAAGAGATGCAAGTATTACTCAGTTTGCAGTAGCATTGCCTTTATTTTGCCAGCTGCCAAACCCAGCTCAAAACCACTTATTGATGAGGTACAGCACTGTCTGATACATACAGTAATGATATATTGATTCCATACTGATAGATACCCAATATACACAGTGCTTCAGGAGCGGTGCCATATGCTGGGGGCTGTGCACTGGCAATATAACCATAAGCTCATGGCTGTCGGACCAATGCACACATCCCTGCACAGAACACGTGCTGTATGTCAAACCTTGTCCCTCTGCTGAGGATGGACCAAATACTGCGTTACACTCTGCTCCTCACTCAAGGCTATGCCAGAGTATAACAGCACTTATATAATTAACCAAAAGGGAGGCAGCACCTACGTTTCCTTTAGCAACAAGCAAACGTCAGTGGGTATTCCCGTGCACGCACTTTCCAGGCTAACACAGCATCTCCTCGCACAGCCTGCCAGCCTACGCCGCTTCCAAGCGCTCATTGCAGTGACAGCACTGAGTGAAGGACCAGAACCGTTTGGAGACGAACGGCTTTGAGACGAACGGCTTTGAGACGAGCCGCTTCACCCACGGCCGCGTCCCCCACGCAAAGATGTGAATTTGCCACGCCGCCCGACAGCCAGAGCGCTCGGGATAAAACCCCTGGCATGAACTGAACCACGACCGTGCCGCCGCTTCCTGCGGCTCCCGCTCCGATCCCGATACTCGGTTACTTCCCCACGAGGGCGGCCTCCCTACGACCCCGGGGTGCGTGTCCCACGGGGCTCCCACCCGCGCTGCGCCGGCGGCTCGCAGCAAATTGGCGGCAGCAAATTACCGGGGCCCCGCCTGGCTCCCTCCCACCCCCCACCCCAGGGAGCTCGGCCCGGCCGGGCTGGGCCCGGCCCGCGGGGCAGCCCCGGGGCACCCATAGCCCATTTCCTCCGTGGCCAGCGGAGCGGGCACCGAGGGCGCGGTGCGGGCCGAGCCCGCCCCGCCGAGCCGCGGCGCCGCCGGGACACTCACATGAACCGAGGAGCCGCCGCCGCCGCCCGCACGGGCAAGAAGGACCCGGTCGCAGGGCTGCCCCAGCGAGCGCCTGACGTTTGCAAGCAGGCGCACGAGAGCGCCTCGCTCCCCCAGCACGCTCAGGGCTTAGGCGCCCAACGCGTCGTTCCAGAGCACTGGCAGAGCACGCACACACACAGGGGGAAGGATGTTAAACTTTCTCTCTTTTATTTCGTTTTGTTTTGTTTGTGTCGGGTTTTTTGTTGGGAAAAAAAAAGGAAGCTCAGGCACTGTGCGGATCGCCCCTACGGCCCTAGAGCGAGCGGGTGGCGGGCAGCAGTGACATCACTGGGGGCGGGCCGGGGGCGGCGGCGCTGGCGCAGGTACCACCGGAGCCTCTGCCTTCCTCTGTACCGCTCCTTCGCCTTCCTCCCTCCCGTCCTTCGCCGGTCCCTCTACCTGTCCCGTCCCTCCATCCTCATCCCCTTCCCCTGTCCCTCTCCTCGTCCCAGTCCCTGTTCCCATCCCTCTCCCCTTCCCCATCCCCTTTCTCCTTCCCCTTTCCCATCCCCTCCCCGTTCCCCAGGGGTCTCTGCCCAGGTGTAGCAGCGCAGGGGGATCAGGGTCCCCAGCATTTCTCTGAGTCCTTTAGAGAACCGGGTAAAAGCCATTTCTCTGTGCCAGGTTTAGTTCCTCAATCCGTGTGTGTCGGATAAATCAAACGGTGACAAACCCGATTTTAGGTCTTCATTATGATACTGATGTAGCAGAATTCGACTTTTCTTCAATACCTATTCTGCATTTTAATAAACTTTGTGAAATCACTCAGTTTCAGGGTTTTTTGTGAAGTAGGGACACTAGTTAGAGTTGTATATTCTATTTCAGTCATTTTATAAAATTAATAATATTTATTAATTTGATGATAAAAATATCTAATGATATTTCTTATATTAATAATAATATAATAATAACAATAATAATATCAAATTAATAATACGTAGTGGTAGCAGGAATATTTTAAGACTTAAGAGCAGAGTTATTCTATATAGAATTTCTTCCTGTGAAATGGCCCACTTTGTTTAGCATACATAGATGATGACACTTAGGGTACCTGCCCTCCTGAAATTGCTCTCAATTACTTTAAAAATAATTTAATATCAGTATAATTATATTTTAACTCAGAAAAGCTGCCTTTATAAGGTGAGGAATATTTACACCTGGGTACTCAGGAGGCATTTCAGTCAGCAGGCATTTCAAGTTCCTAATGGGGCTACTTGCCATAATTTCTGCATGTGGATGCTTTAGGAATTTATAGGTGTGTTTCACTGGAAGGACTCATTGAGGTTGGTCTCTTTGTATGTGCAATATTTGCTTCTGAGAATCAGATTTATTATGTTTTGACTTTTTTTTCCCTAAGGGCAAAGTTCTTAGTGTCCCTTAACTCAATCACCTTAGCACTGAAGAAGTGGACATGCAGTGGAGAAGTTGGAAATGATGGTTCTAGAAAAGCCTGACTTCTGAAGAAAAACCACTTTTCTCTGAGAGCAGTAGATATTTGGAGAAGCAAATAAATTGCTCGATAGGTGGAGTTCCACTTTGTATTTTATTTCTCAATTTTGAACATCAAATCGACACCTACTGCAAAATTTATAGAATAGTGCTAATCTGAATATTGAACAGGAATTTCTAAAGGTCTTTTTTTTTCCTGATTTTGCTAGAATGTTGGTGAGTGCTTTTGTGTACTATGAAGGTTTCTAAGGAGGATTTGGATGAAGGTAGGGAGCTGGGGAAGGTTGTTCAGAGGTGGGATGCAACAAATCCACTTCTGGACTTCTCATCTTTATGCCAGGCACGTTTCACAGATGTGACTGACTGTCTCTCATACATGGAATAAATGGTGCTTTGGAAACAGTGACTCAGTAATTTTAGATGACATTAATAAGACAAGTCTTCACTTGCTCTTCCATCCTTGCTGTTTTGGATTATCAGAATTGAATTTCCAAAATTCAACCCCAAAATTGAATTTGCATTAACTGGTTCTGGTGTCAGTTTAGAATAACAAACCTTTCTTCTCTTCCTGTTTTTATTTCAAAGAGGTTCTGCAGGATATAATTAATTCCTTCAAATCATAAAATTAATGCAGTATGTGTCTTTTCTAGAGAGTAAAAGTGAGTTGGAGGTGTAGAATTGTGTGCAATCCGGTAGGGACAATGTGTAGCACTCTCCTGTGTTTTAATTCTGCCAGACTTTGATGTAAAGTGAAAAAAGAAACCAAAAACAAACAAACAAACCCCCTCAATTTAAAAATACTCAGAGAAGAGCTTTTTTCACATGAACTTTTAAAATATCTATAACCATTCTTTTTGAATTTAGAAATGCCAGTAAGTTACTAGAGAAGTGTTGAGACTGAAAAAAAATTGTTAAAAAACCCTCTTTCATTTAAACTGTAATATGTGTCCCTTTCTAAAGGTGGTGGAAGGCTTAAGTTTGGGGTTACTCATTTTATTTTTCAACTCAGTCTCTGGAATTTGTGTAAGTTGAGAATTAAGGAAAGATCAGAGTTTGACTGTGAGAGTAACAATTGACAGAACTAGCTGCTGATATCTTCGAAAACCTTTTTCATTGCTTTCATGGATTCTCTGTAATTAACTCTGTAGGAGGAGAATTTATTCCACACCTGTTAAAATTCTTTATTGATTCCTTTAGGTGCGTGACAGGAAGGGTTGTTGGCTTATCTCATGCTCAGGTCTTGCTTTTTGCCCATCTGGTTCCCACCCGAAGGGAACAAGTGATGAGTGTGCAGTTGCCTACTTGCACAAATTCCAGGTGTTGTAATTCCTCCTTGTAAGCAAAGTGATCTGAAGTGCAAGGAAAGTTTAATCACTTAAAATGGTTAAAATTGATGGGATTTAACAATTCTTTTTATTGAAATTCCTTTCTAAGTGTCAGCTGAATGCAGGTACAGTGCATTAGAGAAGTATTATCTAACAGTATTTTTCTACAGTAAAAATGAGAACATTTTACCTCAATAGATACATTGTACACTACATATTTACCTTCTTCAAGACATGATGCATCTTGCTGCTAGGCATAATCTCACTCCCCCTCCCCTCCACTCTAATCATAATAACTTGCTTTTCTTCTGTTTTAGAGCAAGCATTACAGGATCATTGTGCCAAGCAGGATTGTAATTGAATCTGTAAACTAAGCTTTTTTTTTTAGTGTTTAATATATATTTTCTTTGTGATGTTGAGTAGTTTCTTTGGCAGATGTTTTTACAGGAATGGGGGTTCTTCTTGTAAATACACACTTATGGGTTTCCAATTGGAACCTGCTGCATGCCAGTAAATCTTTGTGCTTGCACTCTGTCCAATTGATGTCTTTCCAGTGGAAAAATCTGACTGTAATGTGCATTGTTCACATCCTAAAATAAATCATCTGCAAAAAATTATGAAATATTCATGAGATATGAAAGTATTGTATCTTTATAAATAAGACTTTTAATACAAATATAAATATTCCAGTCATCAAAGCTGTTTTGGATTTTCCTTGCTTTTTTTAGGTTTGATTCCTTAACACTATACATTTATATTCAATATGATTTATTTTGATATTTATTAGAATGTAAAAGTACATATCTCATGCCTGTGTTTCTTCAGGGGAAAAAACCCACAAATGAGATCAGTCTTTATGTTTGCTTTGTATCCTAAGTTGCACTGTATTAGTTAAAACAGAAGGTATCTTTCCTAAGATCCATTTGCATAGACCTAGTAAATATGTTTAGTATATAAGGATTTTTGTGCAACATGTCTGGAGTTGCTGTCAGTTGGGATTCACAAATAAATTTAGTATTTTTTATTGGGAATTTTGTGCTTTGGACAAGATTGTTTTCTTAGAGAAAGAAAAATTTTGAGACACCATATTTTTAAGTTTTCTGTTTCTCCTATGTGGCTTCCTGAGGGGAAAAAAAATCTTAATTGCATTATTTTGTAAACAACTAGTAACCTGAGTCTGTGTCTTTTGCTGATAAATTTTTACTCTGTGTTCTCTGTTGAAGGAACACGAATTGCTCTGAAGGGCTTAAGATTGTGTGAAAAAGATGTTTCCTTTGAAGGACACTGTGATGGGTGCCTCCACCTTCTTTGCCTCAGCTCTGCCACATGATGTCTGTGGAAGTAATGGCCTCCCTCTAACACCTAACTCCATAAAAATTCTGGGCAGATTTCAAATCCTGAAAACAATCACCCATCCCAGACTTTGCCAGTACGTTGACATTACCAGAGGTAAACATGGTGAGTATCTGTTTAACAAGCAAATTTTTTGTATGATTACAGTTTTGGGGTTGGGGTTTTTTTGGTGACAATTTATTTTAAGGTGACTGAGCAGAATACTACCTTCATAGCACCAGCAAGTGACCAGTTTTCAGTGTCAAAATTCCTGAATTCCTTTACTATGATTGGTGGTATTGGCTCTTTTGCTTCTTCTTTGTAGACTGAAAGGAGAGATTAGTTGTCTGTCCTGTCTTGTGTTACACTAACAGATAAAAGGTAAGAACTTCCTTCTTTTTATACCTCACTGAAATTCCTGAACTCAATTGCTCTGCCATGTCTTTGTGTGGAATATGGAAATAGATGTATTTTTGGTGGTGAACTCCTACACCTATGTTCTGATGTTGTGGACATTTTCATGTGATGGTTAGGTTTCTTGTGCTTGATTTGCTGCTGGTGTTGTCATCTCATGTCCTGGCTGCTAGCTTCCTGTATTATTATCTTTTGATTTCTTTAAGATTTCTCCCGCTAGGGGTTACTTTATTCTAGCACAGGTTTGAAAGGTTTCTTTCTGTACCTGTTGTCAAACTTATTGTTAGCTCAAATAAAACTTCTTTTTTTCTGCTCTAGATATTCTGTTGCAAGCTCAGCAGGACTACAACACATAATTTCCACAAAGAGGCTGCAACACCTGTGACAATTTAGGTCATTGTCACCCTTAACTTTTAAATCAACACTGTTCTCATACAAAAGTGCATTGTATGTATTTGATTATCTGCAGGCTCTCATAAA